CCCCGCCGGGGGGGGGGGGGGGGGGGGGGGGGGGAGTCTCTCGTAGCACCAGCCACCAAGTAGTTTTCTCTCTTCAACAATGAATTAAATGCGGGTTAAACACGAAATCACGCTTCCTTGATAACAAAAAGGTACAAAAAAAAGTTAACTGTGCTGTTTTCATGGTCATGCATTATTTACAGGATATCTGATATTCTCAGTGACTAGCTGTTTCACTCATTCGGCCCCACATCCACGTTGAATGAATACACGGAGTGGTTGGAACACTGCCCTTGCCTTTGAAGATTTATTTTCGTGAAATCGTGAAGAATCAAGATTTTTTTTTTTTATCATTGAAGATAAATTGTGGTTCAAGTTGGTTGTATAGTCACCTAGCATTGAGACAACAATATAACCTCGTATCAGTGTTTATTTGAGATTATGGTATATAATACTTTTCAAAATAGTATTACAATTAAAAATATATTAAAATAAAAAAATATTTAACATCAATATATTAAAATCATTAAAAACCACAAAAAATAGCATTAATTCAATAGTTTTTTAAATTAAAAACACTTTAGAAAAATACTCAAAAATAAAAACAAAAAATCTCCCAGAGACACCCTTGATATTGCTGTTTTCTCCATGGCTCCTCCGAATCCATATCCCCCTTCGCATTTTGTCAATATCCGTCGCCATATTCTGGAATCTGGACTTGAGTTGTTGTATTTTTTTTTTTAAAAAAAAAAACTTTTAAATTTTCGTGGCGTGTAGTGACGTGGAAATGTAAATTGAGCATAGCGGTTTCTTTGGTTCGATAATGTCACCTCATCCACAAACGAGTACAACGTTGGTAAAACAGTATAGACAAGATAACTTGCAGTATCATACTTCATCGTGTGGGACCGTGAAGCTTTTTGTCCACGTCATCTTTCCACTCCTAATCTATAAATGGATTGATGAAATGTACAGCAATCTCTCCGAATACAAATGAATTGCCTTACAGAGGCTATTTTTAGTCGGTCATGCCCGTTACGTCCATGAAATTTAATTACATTTATTTTTCAAGTTTTCAAAATATTTTCTCAGTGTGATTTTGCGTAATTGTTATCTCATAAAAAAAATTATTATCTTATATTTCACGAAGCACAACACTAGCAACAATTTAAGTAATAAATTCAGGATCAATAGTATATGATGTCAAGTAATTTTGTTGTAGTAAATCAATGCTACGTTAAAAAAACAATTGTAAATCTTATGTGATTGATTTAACAATTCAATATTAATTGCGTAACTTTTTAATTTAAAGATGGAAATTTCTTTTGTTTAGATTGAGAGTTTTAATAGTTTTTTTTTTTATCTTGGAAAACCCATCAAATTATATGATTGTAACATGAATTTAATAAAAAGGGCTGTGCAAGTGGATGTAGGTATTTTTAGTATTGTATGTTTTTGTATTTCAAAAACATTTTTAAAAAATTTGAATTTTTTTATTTTTTAAATTAATATATTTTTAAATTATTTTAATATAATAATATCAAAAATAATTTTTAAAAAATAAAAAATTATTAATATATATTTTAAAATAAAAAATTATTTAAAAAATTACTATAATCACATTAAAAAAAACAAAACGTCTTATTAATCAGTTTAACGATTTCTCTACAAAGACAATCTCCGCGAGACTGCCGGTGTCAATTTTCTTCAACTGGACCGGTGTGAGAGGACCACTTTCTAGAACCCATGGACTTGCATCAGCCTACAAGTGCGGTCAAAGAATCAATTGAGATGAGAAAAATAAACACCACGCCAGTTCATTTGTTTGCTCGTGACACGTGGCAGGAAGTCAGTTGGCAGTGTAGGGAGTCAAGGTCAAGGGCCAATTATAGCAACTTGAAAAAATTACTCAGGGCATCTCAGTAATAAAATAAAAGCTAAATTGTGGATATATTTTTTAAAAAATAATATAAATATAATTTTTTTACGTTTATTTCAATGGAAAAAATTATTGTAACAATTCATCTGTATTTTAATATATTTAATACTAATTGTTTTAGTTTTATTTTTTTAGAGAAAACATTGAGAGAAGTTGCAATGATTAAAGAAATGATTTTAAAATATTTTTTTTAATGTTTTTAGATTTTCTACAGAACGAAAAAACTATTTTAGAACTTCATTTGGTTATCCTCTTAAAATTGTAAAATCAAGTAAGAAAAGCTAAATTTTTATTTTATTTTGACTCTTCATCTCTGGATTCAAACTAGTGGCAGTGCAAGTTCTGAAACCAGCCCAGACCAGGCCATGAATCGGTGGCGTTCGGAATTTCAAATTTACAATGTGTAATAATAGTATGACAATCACCTTTGACACTGGGCCGGTTTGGTAGAAGACACCCAGACGAGTTGAAAATCCATAAACAAGAAAATAGGTGAGTTTCAAGTAATCTATTTCAGCCCAATCCTTAATTCCATACCAGTCTACTTCACTTTTCTCGTGCCGTTTTAGCTTCCTTGATTCGTTTTCCCTCCTCCCTTGTTATATATTACTTGCCGCTACCAATCGAGTTGACTTTGACAGAGAGATTATGTTACACTGATAATGTTGTTCACAGGGATCAGAGATTGTTTTTTGTTTTTTTCCAGGAAAAAAAAACTCTTTTAATAATTTATTTGGGCAGTTGTATTTCGAGCTATAATAGAATACAGCCATTATTTTTGTTCTTTTCAGTCTTGGATGTAATTTCCCAGTTAATTAATTATGAGCATTTTAGATTCCCAATCACGTCCACTGCGCACAAGAAACTCTCAGCGGGGATGTGTTGTTATTTTACTCTGTGGTGTTGATTCGCAACAAATATTGGAATGTGATGAAGTGATGGAAGAAGAAAAAACTTCTTCTTCTTTTTTTGCAAATGGGCTGACGAGGAGTTGCTTTAAAAACAAGTCCTCTGGTAAACATGGAACTACGTGTAGAGTAAAGAATATATAAGAAAATAAAAAAGAAGATGAGTGTTATGAAGTGCGCATCTTTTTCAAGTGTTTCGCATGGCTTTCATGGTTTTAGCCTGACTTTTCTTGCCTAGCTAGAAATTACTCTTTGGACTGTGTTATGGGATCTCTTGGTCTCTTTTCAGCTTTCCTTGCCTGGGTGCATTTATATATACACCACGGCTTGGAATTTCTTCATGCAGAAGATATTATATCATTGCTGAAAAAGCTGGTTTGATCTGACCAGTGTTAGTAAATGTATCATGCTCCTTGCCAGTGAAAAATATTAGTGACGATATGCGATTGGCTAAAAAAAAGTAACACGGAAATAGCATAGAAAAAGACGCCAAAACTACGTCTGCATGGCACGTGAAAAGTTTACATGGGCCTGTAGAAATTCATAGAAAGGCGGGCCAGGTCGAGTAGCCGGACCGTGGCAACACCAAGTTTAAGCGGAACTTAGGCTAGAAAAGTCCTACCACTTGGAATGCCAGTCGCTTGTGCCCAGGTGGCTGGAACAGCCCTGGGCTGCTGGAACATTTTCAGCTGCTTTGGAATAATATTTTTTTAAAAAAAAAACAGGAAATTCTTTTTCTTTTTTCTTTTTTCTTTTTTACTTCCATCATCGGAATGCTTGAAAAGAGCTACAGTGACCGTGCACATTGTGAGAATGCGTGATGGACTGCACTCCAATCCTGGTTCAAGAGGATAAATTTGTGTGTCATTGATTATCGATGCTGCTCCATCATCCCTATCTCACCAGTATTTTAGCGATTCATAAATCCATTAAAACTAAGTCTCAAATCATGATTTAAATCACGAGTCTTGTAAATAAACCGGATCATTGATGTATTTTTTTCTTGTTCCCATCTAGAGTGTTCTTTTGATGTTATTTGTTTTTGCGTGTGATTTCTGTAGTGTTAGGATATTAGCTTAACACCTTTTCTTTTTATACAAAAAACACTTATGATTAAAATCGATAAACCACCGAAAAGAAAATAAAGTAGAGATGGGTAATGATTGTTTTTGTGGTTAGACTGTATTTTTTTAAAAATAATATAATTTAATTTTTTATATTATTTTAATGTGTTGATATTAAAAATATTTTTTTAAAAATATTTTTTTAATAATTTTTCAAGAAAGAATTTTTTTTAAGCGGGTTGCCACTGAAACTGGGCAAACCAAAAAAGATATATGGTTTCGACCTTGCAACAATCACAAGTCCCTTTTATTTTTTTTATATGCATCCGTTTTTTTAAAATGCTCTACAATCAAATGGGAGTCTGATGTTGAGAAAAAAAAATTCTCTTAATATTTTTTATTTTAAAAAATAATTTTTAATACAATATTAAATACTACCTAGTAGAAAATGAATCACTTACGCTGTTTTGTTATATATTGTAAGAAATGACACCGAAGACAAACAACTCTCTCTTAGTTTTACAGTATCGGTATTTCTTTGGGATTCCGAATTTAATTGAGAAGTTACTGTGGGCTGGGTTTAGTGGGATTGTTGGGCCTGGTCGTCTAACCTAGATACACACTGACACACATCACTTGAAAATCCATTAACTCATAGAGGGTCCTTTCTTCCTCCTTCTTTCCGTCTCTCTCTGCTGCT